CATCCGCTTCTTTAGAAGCCGAAACCATCAGTGGTACACAAGGTCACACACCTACGTAAAGACTTAGTTCAGCTTATGTACTTCCCATTCACTTCTCAGACCATTAAATCGCTGTTTTCACGCTATTCTTTTATACATCATTCTGAAACTCGGGCTGCCTGAAGGGCTTTAGGTTCAGTCAATAGCAAAGCCTCCATCATACACAAAAGGTCCCATGTGCTTCCCGCAGCTCACAAGCCAGCTCCTGATTCTGCGATGACCCCGCAGGGTGGACAGTGCCCCCAGTTCTTTGTTTTGCCCCTTTCAGGACCCTGCCTGTAAGACACTTGTTTCTGAGAGATTCTTCTTTTGTCTCCAGTGCGTTTAGTCTGGAGGCATCTTCTGTGATGGGCTGAGCCTGTACTACGTGCACACCCAAGGCCATGGAGGATCAGGCTCTGACCTCTCAGCCTTTCAGCATGAAAATAAACAGCAGGATTCAGTTCCTCTGCAACATCCTGGAGGCATTGTGAGACCTGTTAACTGTTCCAGCATCCCCCTTCACTGCATCTCTGCCCCATCCCTGGAACTGCTCAAGGCCAGGGTGGACAGGGCTTTGAGCAACCTGGTCTAGTGGAAGGTGTTCCTGCCCATGGCAGAGGGTTGGAATAGGATGATCTTTAAGGTCCTTTCCAACCCAAACCATTGTGTGATTCTGTGATCTCTCTAGAAGATGAATACGGAGGCCATACGCAGCTCTGCATTGTATAATAGGCAGAAACAAATTGAATCTTCACAAGCTTTACTAATCAAAAATTAATTTCAGAATTACTCAGGAAATGAGATTTGTCTTGTAGGTCAATACATTCTGAAGAAACATCTATTTGGACCATGATAACTTCAATGTCCTTTTGAGTGAACCTCCCCCCACCAGTTACTCAGCAGATACTCCTTTCTGCTTCCTTCCCAGCACCAGCTGCTTCCAGAAGGAATTCTCCTGCCCACCATCTGCCTTGAAGCCTGACACAGCGACACAGACAAATGCAACTGTAAGTGATGTTTAAACTCCAAATCCAATCCCTGATTTGCTTCCTTAGGAAAAAAAAGAAAAAAAACCACCAAAAACAAAAACCAAAACCAATAAACCCACAGCACAAAAATTATCTAACCACATGCCCACTGGAAAAGGCCTTATGTAGAGAAAGCAAACTTCATGTATGTAAACAGCAGTATTTTTCCCAAAGAAAACTGTGGTAACAAGGATTCAAGGTATACACAAAAACAAGGAACTGGGACCATCACCTGATCTACAGGACCTGAAATGACTTTAAACCAGTGCTGCTGAAATCTTGTTCCAAAGAGCTCCTCACTGATTTAAGATGAAGCTATTAAAAGGAATTATAATTTGACATGAAGGGAAACCTGGCAGAACCTGGCCCTACTTTCCAGCAGCCTCATGTCCTCAGCCACCCATGCACCACAAAACTGAAACAAACTTCTCCTGCACTAGACAGGAACCTTTGGCATCAACAAGCTGACTTCTGAACAAACGTATTTTTTTCTCTTTACATGTATTTATATGCTAGCCTCAGAGCAGCTACAAGCTCCATGTTCTTTTTCTGTATCGTGTGCTGCTTGTGAATACACATAAGAGCGCAAACCCAAACCACATTAATGATAACCTTGTTAAATATAAACTAGTACGCAATTATATAAACTGCTAACACAAACAAAAAAAAAGCCAGGAAACTCTGATTATATGCTCACAATGGTTTCTGAAAACTAAATAAAAACAACACCATAAGGCAGCCTGTCTTGCCTGATACTGTAACAGAAAACAGCTTCATGTTGTAATTAACACGTCTCAGCACAGAGGACCAGTCTATCAAATGAGGCATCAAACTCAATTTGAAGCCCACAGCAAGGAGAGGGGAAGGGTGGGAGGAGAGACAACAGGTGCACACATGAACTACAAAAAACATCTGATTTTCTTCTCTGCTTCCCTGCATCCCCTTCAGGTGAGATAATGCCTGCTGCCGGGCTGCTGCTGTGACTTCCACCCTACTGCGTTCAGAGGGCAGGCCACGCGCTGGGCTTTTGGCTCCTTCCTCTCCATTAAGAGAGCAGCAGAAGGTCTGCTCAAACCCTCTGTTCTTGGGCTTGCGCCCGCGCTGTGCGTGCCTGTGATTTATCTTCTGTGCAGCCTACTGTGAACTCAGCAATCAGAGCCCCTACCACATCTTTTCACCGAGACGATGAAGAGCCAATGCTCCACGCAACCTCTGTGGTCTGCAGCTGTCTGTTCCTGATGTTTAAATATATATACCTTTTCCAGAACAGAAACGAACCCATTGAAGGCAGGCCAAAGTTTGCCCCAGGCTGCACACGTGCAGCATCACGGCAGCCAGCAAAGCTAGGGGCATAACCCGGAGCTGTCCTGCACCAGCTGTAATGGAGAGGTTCACACCTGTCAGTGGAGCAATGCAAGGTCTCCACCACAGATGAATGCAGCTCTCAAGAAGACAAAAGAGCATGAGAAAACCACCATTTTCCTTATGTCTTACACCACAAGAAAATACACAGTCCCAAGGAAGGCCATTATAAGGACTGGAGGAGCACCTTGACAAGGTTTCCTTGGGTGACTTCCCCTTGTCATAGACTTGAGCTATCCCTCACCTGCTTGCACACTAGCAGCACAGCTGGATTTGCACCACACTGGATTTCTAGGTTGTAAATAAGAACAGTAATTACCTTTCCCTCTAAAGCTCCAACCTGCTCTCATGTGACTAAAACCAAAAAGCGTTGGTTGCGGAAGGAAGAATTCAGATAGCAAGAAACAGGGGCAAAGGAAAACAATGACAGAAAGATGAAGGGCTGAGGGAACAAGTGATACAGGTGAGATCTGAGCACCCTTCCCAGGACTGAGCACAGGATCAAAGCGTGCAAGCAAGGAAAACCAAGGAGGATCCTTTGGAATCCAGAAAGATAACACAGGAATCCTGCATCAATAATGAACTCCCTAACTGGAAGGTAAAGGAGAATCCAGTCTCTCGAACAGCAGGATAATACTGCCAAGCACATTCCCACCAAGTAAGAAGTTTAAGAGTAGAAAAGCAATTTCCAAATCAGTCTGTTGGGTCACTTCTCACCCTCAAGCATTGCACAGAACCATGTCACAAACTAGAACACAAGCGCGTGTGTGTCACACTTCTGTGCTGGTGATCCATGAACAATGAGAGAGTTGTCACTGCAGGAATTGTTTTGAGACACATGACTGGGAGAAGATGGGTGATAACCCACCAGCAGGCATTTTACTTGGGAAGGTGGGGCTCCCCTACCACAGCACCTGAAAAGAGGCTCAAAAAAGCCACCAGTACAATCCAGATGGGATACAGAAAAGCCAGCAGTGATGGGGCACACAGCTAAGACAACTGTCTCCTGGAATACCTCCAATTTCTCCAAGCTGCTTGGTTTTGAAAGGGACTTCTCTACAGGTGTCTATGCTCAATTACCCTTACAAACCCTTGCAGTATCATGTGAGCAAAGCCTACCTATTTGTCCAAGGGAGAAACGAGACAGGAGTGTGGCAAATGGGGAATGTGGGAGTGGTGAGCACCCTGGGCTTGGGGAGCACAGTCATTTCCTCCAGCTTCTGCCCTGGCTCTCTTCCCCAACCCCAGCCTTTGATACCCGAGTGTGTCGTTGAAAAAGTGAAGGAAGACGGTTTTTTATCCGAGGAGCAACTACTCATATGCATTTATACATTTTTACATATTTGTCACCTTCTTAGCCAAAAGTTTCTGATTTTCGAGCAGGTGAGATTATTCCTTTGGGAATTAAAAGGCAAAAGAGTAGCCAGCGGCAAGGAACAGCCCAGAGGAACATTACGTGCTTGCAGATAAAGAGCTTATTTAGGGAGGTAGCAAGATGTTGGTTACACCATGCGCATACACCATAAACCGTGGACAGCGATGCAAAGGTTTCCTTCCCCTCTACGGTCTGCAGATCCGGCTGCAGCGCTCTTGGCTCGGGGTTGGCTCCCTGCCTGTCAGATAGGCAGCACGGCGGGCTCAGTCCGTCACCAGCCACGAGAAAGTGGGGACAACCGCCGCGGCTAAGGGGGACGGACGGCTGCACACGCCTGCCTCGCTTGGCAGGACCGAAACTTCGGGTCACTCACACCGAGGCGCGGAGAACCGCTGTGGCGGAGGGGCTCGGCTACCGCCGCGCACCGACCTGCCCTGCCCGCCCCTACATCCCTGCCGCTGCCCACACCCCGGGCAAGCCCGCCGCCCGCCCTTCCCGCGCATCACCCGCGCACCCGCCGTCCCCGCTTACCGGGACCGCTGCAGCTCGAAGGCGGCGGCGGAACAGCTCTGCCCCAGCTCTCCGCTGCCGCCGCCGGGGCCCTGGGGGCTGGTGCGGCCGAAGGGCGCCGGCAGCACCCCTGCCGTGAAGGAGTTGAGGCGGCCCCGGCTGCCCGCCGCCGCGGCGCCCAAGAAGGCGGCGGCCGGCACCTGCACAGCGGCGAAGGCGTCCTCCTCCTCTTCCTCCTCTTCCTCCTCCTCCTGGGCCCGGGGAGTCTCGGCGGGCACTGCCGGGGGGCTGCCCAGCCGCGGTGGCGGCGGTGGCGGCGGGGCCTGGCGGGGCCTGGCAGCGGAGCCGTCGTTGCCCGGCGGCGGGGGCCGCCCGTCGAGGGAGATGCTGGTGAGGAAGGAGAGCGCGGCCTGCCTACGGCGGGGGTCGCTGCGCGCCGGCGGCTGCTGCAGCGGCCCCGGCGGCGGCGGCGGCCCCTTCCTGGGGCAGGGCTCCGGCGGCGGCAGGGGCCCGGCGGCGGGACTGCCGGGGCTGGCGGCGGTGGCGGCCGCCGCCATTGTCGGCCGGCTCCCCCTCCCCTCTTCGCTGACCGGGCTCTGGCTCTGGCTGCCTGCCCCTTAGGCGGGCGGGCGGCGGGACATGGGTGCAGTCTGCCCGCCGGGGTGCATGGGGCTGTCGCAGGGGTACGCTCCGCCCGGCCGCGCCGCGCTGTCCCGGGCCCCAGCCGCCCGCCCGCTCCGTATTTATAGGTGCAGCCGCGCCACCGAGCGCCCTGTGCAATAACACGGCAATCACGTGTGGGAAACGGGGAGCTGGAGGAAAACAAAAGCCCGGCCAGCAGCCCGGAGGAGGAGGGAGAAGGGTGGGTCTCGGCGAGCTCCCTCCTTTCAACCTCTCTCTTTTTTTTTTCCCTTTCACCCCCTTCCCTCCTCCTTCTCCTCCTCCTCCTCCTCCTCCTTTTCCCTTCCTGGATGCGTGGGGGCGGGCGGGAGCCGGGGAAGGTGGAGTCTGTGCCTATAGTACACGGCACATGGCCCTCGGAGGCTGCCAGCGGCAGCGCTGGACCCGCGGGCTGCGGCTCGGCCCGGCTGCTGGAGAGGTACCGGGTTACAGCCGTGCACTGGGCAGCGGCCCGGCTGCTGCCCCGCTGGTTTCCCGGACGGGGACCGTTGTCCCGGGGCTGTCGCAGACTCCCCGGGGATGCGCTTGGCTGCCCGCAGCGCATCCCCTTGGTACGGCAAGCTTGGCCTGCCCCATCTCGTGTAGGCTGCCTGCTGCAGTGTAAGGTACGTGTGTGTAAGTCACATCTAAGGAGTTCCCCAGACCATGAAAGCAGTCCCCGCCCCAACCTTTCCTTCTCTCCAGCACCTGAGAAAGTGCAGTTAGTTTGCCCTCTCCTATGTAGCGCAAGCCTCAAATGTTCTCTGTCTTCTCTGAAGTGGTCTGTGTGCAGCTGACTGCAGGTCTGCACCTTCCCTCCTCCTTGCAGCTGCGGCTCAGGAGGGTGAGCAGCCAGTCCAGCTCAGCAAAAAAGCTTCTTTATTTCTTCATTACTTTCTTTTGATCAACCCAACCGTGCTACAAGTGCTCTTGCCCTGTGATGATAATTTCATCAATGGCTTATGTAAGGGTTGGATAACAGATCTATACAAACAGCAGAACATATGGTTGTTGCAAGATACCAACGTGTGCCTTCTTCATAAAGCATTACAATGACTTTTATTATATTCCACTTACAGTTGGTAGATGATTTACAAGCCATCCCAAACTGTCACAAATACTGTAATGTTCCCTATGATTTTATCAAAAGCTTGTTAATTTGGTTAAAAAAATTAGAGTGACCAGGAGGAGAGCCTAATCATAAGAATCATAGAATCACAGAATAGTTTATGTTAGAAGGGACCTAAAATATTATCTAGTTCCATCCACCTGCCATGGGCAGGGACACCTTCCACTGGACCAGGTTGCTCCATGACCCATTCAACCTGGCCTTGAGCACTGCCAGGGATGGGGCAGCCACAGCTTCTCTGAACAACCTATGCCAGTGTCTCACCACCCTCATAGTGAAGAATTTTTTGCTAATACCTAATCTAAATGGCCTATTGCTGGAGGAATCTATGGACCCAGGTTTGCATTCACCTCAAACCCGACCTTTTGAGCATTCAGTGACTTTAGAATCAAGTTCCATGACTTGGACAGATTTCTGAACGTTTGGCTTTTTCTGACATTGAGCACCACAAAACCTGAACTTCAAGGGATCAAGTCCCTGGGATGTGCTCCTCATGTAGTAATGATGCTATCCAGCAACAGGAAGCTGTGAGCAAGGAAAGGGGAAATGATGGAGGAAAGGGAAGTTTCCCAGATCCCACGTTCTTAGAGAAGTGCTATTTTGAGACGGACATTCTCATTTCAGACTGCTCTCTTGAGGTTTACCCAGATGCTATCTTTCTTAACAGAGGGCACTGTTGTGCCTGTCCCTGTAGCACATCAAGGATGGATCATCTGGATAGAAAGGCCTGAGTGCTAGACTTGCCTCCCCAGAGAAGAGCCCAGCTAGCATCTCCCACCTGCTGGTGCAAAGTGTCCTTCAAACTTCTGTTTTGGAGAGGAAGACTGAGGAATCCCAGGCCTGCCGCCTTCCTCTGATGGGGCAGGGAATGTTTGTGTCTGATCAGAGGCCCTATATCTGCAGTGGGAGCTAGCAAGCTATGTGGTGTTGGGGCACCAATGCACTTGGCTCCCATGGAGGAGCTCCATGCTCCTTTTGAGACAGTACTGCTTTTAGAAGAATACAGGAGTTTTTGGAGGAGGGCTCCTCAGCCACAGAGAAATGTCACAGCTTTGTAGCTTGGTAGTTAGCATGTTCATTGAATGCTGACCTCTGGTCCAGGAACTACTGCTAGGTGGTAGATAGCTCATTAAACACAGGCCTCCCACATTACAGCTGAGTAAGGTATATATTGGGAGGTTTTTTTTTCTCCTCTTGCATTTCTGAGGGGAAGCAGGCACAGCGTGTATTTTTCTCTGGAGCTCAAAAGCTTGCTATGGCAACTGAGTCCTGTGGCGTATTTTCCAAATCCAGCCTGTCACAAGACACAGGTCTGGGAAAGAATCACCACTAAAACACCAGGTGGGGCTCCAAAGGATGGTCTAGCCTGGGACAGTTTGTGAGGGCAGAAGTGTGCATTCGTTTCACAAAATTACTCTTGTGATGGGATAAATCAGTCTTGGTTGCTGCATTATTTTAAATGGAGCCACAACCTCTGCTCTATAGAGCTCCTCTAGAGCTGTCCCACAGGAAAGCATTCCCCCCTCCCTTGTCCGCATGTGCATCCAGATGCTTTCAAACACATTGAAACCAGGACAGTGGGTTACAACATCCCTTCCACTGCATGTGAGAATAAACCCGTTTGAGAAAGCCACGTACAAGAAGAAAAGCATGAATTTTTCAGTCTAAAGTGAAGCTATTTTTAATAACGAGTGGGGTACGACAGTAAAAGAATAATTGGCATGTCAGAAATACCAGGTTCTCTAGACCTATTTATACATTTAGTAGCAAGTTTAAATGAACGTGCACAACCTAAGGTAAATGTTGTTTTCCAGTTACTTACGTCTTTTGATCTGTGCTTTGCAAAACTACAGATGCTTACATGTGCCATAGTAGTCCTGTCTGCTGGAGGATATGTGGAAACATTAAGCTGACTTTGCTGGCTGAAACTTTTTTCTTTGATGGGGAACCAGTGGTTGGCTAGAGGAAATAGCAAAGTTGAAAGGAAAACCAGAAAGACATTCTGGAAGCTTGCTTCTGTGACTGTTTTTTCAATCATCTCCCTCTCTTGAGTTCTCTTCCAAACAACCAGCTCTACCCAAGTGCAAGCAAACTGTTTTTATTTCAGAGGTCACAGGCTTATGTAAGTGGTTGGATGGCAAGTGGTAGTAAGAGTGGTAGAGCATGATGGCTTTTTCACCCAGTGCACCAAGAGCTGGCATAAAGACTGGTCAGTTGTGGGTGTTCAGAGACAGCATGGAATTTGGGGCGCCCATTAACAGGCGAGTGGAGAGGCTGGCTTTAAAGAGGTTGAAGAGAGTGGAGAGAGTGTGGACAAAAATGAAAGCACAGCAATTTAATAGTCTAAGAAATGAGATTGGAGAAATGGCCTCTGCGTACCTGCCTTCAGAGGAAAGTTAACCCAGGTGTGGAAGCCTCACATTGTCTTGGATGCCCTTTAGCTAACATGAGGGTAGTCCTGCTGCAATGGGAGGGTGCAGCCAGCAGGATGTGAAGACACAGTGTGAAAGGCCCCAGACTTCCATGTAAAGCTGGGCTCCTGAGTGGCTTGCCAAAAGCTCTTTGCAGGTGAATTGAAAACTTCACCTGGAATTTGAGTTAGAGGCAAGATTTGTATTCTTCTGAGAGTTACCTCTGCAGGTCCTGAGTCACAGCACGAGTCACCAGGCCGGTTCTTGAGTGGCCCCAGTGCAGTTTGCCTCTTTAGTGACAAACCCAAGTTTCTTATTGTCACTGATACTTGGAGCTGAAGGAAGCTAGGGGAAGAAAAACTAAACGCAGTTGTCTCCTGTAAATTCAACAAGTTTGTTTTCTGGCTGCCAGGACCAGTCAGGTGATGCTGTTATGAAAAACTCAGCAAAGATGTAGTCTGGAGATACCGCTTCTGAGTTCCAGTAGTTGAGAGCAGATATCATTATTGGTGGTCATGGATATCACTATCAGATCCCAACAGTCAGGCAGATTTCCCATATTCTGTGAGGACTCTTGCCGTGCAAGATTCTGTAGAAGCAAAAAATATGCAATCTTTTATAAATGCTTTCTTCTTTCCTTCTCAGAATCCCTTTTCAGAAGAACACTTCAAAAGAGGAAAGCAGCTGTAACACTGGAGAAAGACTTAAAATATGAATTTAATAATCTTTCTCCTTAGAAGGAGTGCCTGGCAGAAAAAAGTAGAGGCAGTTTGAACACATTGCACTGAGAGCCACGGTTAAGAATGGAAATTGGATAAAGGCAGTACAAATTCTTTACAAAAGACTAATACTGCATCTGGATAGCAAGGCCTGTTTTGGTGCCAGGCCCTAACCTTCAGTCTGTTGCAAATTTAGCCTGATTCTCAGAAATGCTAAGTACTTGTGCTTCCCATTAGTGATTTTTCAGGAGCCAGGAGGTTTTACTTGTTGAGGGCCACCTTTGCTAACTGAAATGTAAAAGCTTAACAGTAGTATGAGTGTCACCTTGTTTGGAGAGTAGCATTCCTTGGGTAGGTGTAGGTCCACACTTGCCTGTCTGCGAAGAACCTAACTTTATTTTCGTTGTTCCAACGTGGGTGCCAACATTACCAAGTTAACATGAAACCAAATTCATATATGGCATTGTAGCCACCTAACATTGTGGTTGGAGCAGTGTATGTGACTGTGGGGCAAGATGTGCAGAAGCCAATGTCCTCAGCAAAGATGAAACAGATTGCTGAGTTGTGGATAGTCAGGACACCCAACCTGCCAGTTATATTGGATGTCAGAGGTGTGGCATGTGTGTGCCTTGTAATGTTCCTGAGATCTGCAGTAAGCCAGTAGTGTACATGTGGGTGGTAGAGCCAAATTGATAGTCATTTGTCTCTCAGAAATTAGGGCAGTCTAGATAAGTCATAAATGGCATCTGTATCATTACTCCAACTTACAGTATCTTTAGGTGAGGCTCTTGGCAACAGCCATTTATTAAGAATAATGAACATTTTCCATTGCTAGATCCAATTCAGGCCAAACATTTCTTGGAAAACTGGTCAGAATGGTTACGGCAGCTCTGAAGGCAAGACCATGAGAAACACATTGCTTTACCCACATTAGAAGTTCTTGTGACCTTTCCTTTGATATTCCCCTTGTGACTTTTCCCTTTCTAAGCCAAACTGTTCTATGATTCTATAGACTTGGGTGGCATCGTTTAGTGTGAGGTGTCCCTGCCCATGGCAGGGGGGTTGGAACTAGGTGATCTTAAGATCCTTTCCGACCCTAACTGTTCTATGATTCTACGATTCTATACTCCAGCATCCCTGCACTGAGACAAGAATTCAAAAGATGGGCTTCTGTCTGAAGTGGGGCTGACAAAGGAGAAGGGGGTGCCCTTCCTGTCAAAACCTACCCACCTCTGTTGAATTTGAAACCTCTGAATCATAGCTCATATATCCTAGCTAGGGACTCATGACCTACCAGCTAAAACTGCCAGTGAGGATATATCTTTATGGAGCAAACTTCAGCCTCCTGCATTTGCCAAATGGGCTGAGCACATGCAGCACCCAGACCTACAGAAGCCTTGGGAGGGATGTTCCCAGCTATTCTGGAGCATGGTGGAGGCAGGTGATGGACCACGGGTGCAAAGCAGGCAAGCGGAACGAAGGAGGGAGCAGCCTGTGTGGATTTGGAGGTGGAAGGAGCTGCAGGAGAAAAGATACCATCCTTGGATTTGATCCATGTACATGGGACGGGGGGCTGAGGGTTTGCACATCCAGCAGGAGTTCCTCCATGGTTGACTTTTTAAAGTTCTTCATTCAACTTAAGCTGGCTTTGATGTTTTTTGTTGTTGCTGCTGTTGTTTGTTCACCCTATATGCTAATGAATCCCTTAAAGACCCACACTAAACTGGGATCACCATTTTACTGGGTGCTGCTGAAGTGTTCTCCCATGCCTCAGTGAGCTTGCAGGCTGACTAGACAAAACAAGGAAGGTGGCCATGTAGGAACTGCCACCGGAATGTGGCTGTTGCTGGCTCCTACTGGAGTGATTAAATGGGAACAGGGCCACATAGCTCCTCCCTCCCTTGAAAAACAAAAACTGTGGGCACTTGTACAGAAAACAACCCGTCTCTGTTTGTCCTTGTCTTGCTGCAGTTCTGATCTGTGAAATCCGACTTTCTTTTTGCAGTATCACAATGTTAACGTAGACATGAAGTTCAAAATGGAGTAGTCTTTATTGAAACAAGGAATGGGCAAATGTCCTGTCTGCCTGGAAATCAACTTAAGCAGTGGTGTAAATAAAGGGCGACTTGTAACTGCAGGAGAACAGAACAACTGGTCACTAAAAAGAGCTTTTTGTTAAGGTTTTCATTAAGTGACAGCTGTGATTTATCCTGTTCTTTACTATTTTGAGACAGTTTGGAATCAAGGTCAGAATCACTGACCATTAAGGTTTCAGAGGGAAGCCGGGAAGAACATCCGTCCTCATCATGGTGACTGTTCATTTTTAATCACCTCAGGATAATTTTAAAAGAGGCTGCAGGTTTCTGACACATTCATGTGAGGGTGTCCTTTTGTTTGCTGGGGGTAGGAAAATCCTCCCATTCACAGGACAGTCAGACCGAGGAGCTGGGTGTGAGTGAAAATGCTGTTGACACCTTCTCAGACATGGTCTTCAATGAGTAAAAACATGAAATAAATGGAAGCTGGAGTTCCCGGAGGGACGTGCTGGTGCAGCGTTTCACTTCAGAGGCTCTACTGCGAGTTCAGCTCGACTGGAAATGTTTAATATCCAAGAAAAAGGAGGAAAAAAAAGGTTCAAAGGCCTTTTTTTTTTTTCTCCTCTTGAAAATATGAAATTCAGGGAGTGTGACTCCAAAGGGAATGAAGGAGGCAAATGGAAAACTTCTTGGCAGCAGGAGCTGAGGTTTTGCATTCAGCTCAATGGCATTTTTCAGTCTGTGTGCAATGTGATATCCCGTGAGCGCCACACTTGGTTCACTCTGAAATTTCAGGGAAGGTTTCAGATCCCTTTTAACTTTGCTAGCTCCGCAGTGGGCAGTACTCATCGCAGGCTGCTGTGGAAAGCAGGCAGCCATGGAGGAGAAATAAAACCTCTGCCTGCACCCTTGTGTCCTATCACCTCGGGCCACCTCATGTATTATTTGCAAGTCCTATTTATAATGCTTTATGTGCATAAAGTATGAACAGCAGCTATCAGGGAGTGTGAAAATCCAATCCAGAACATATCCACCCATTATGCTGGCTGCCCAAGTGGCATGATTGGTTGTAAGTGTGCCAAGACCCCTCTCTGGTTATAAGCATACTTTATGTAACCTAAATGATGCTCAGGTAATTTGCATTTGCTTCATTCAGGCTGTGTGCTCCCAGGGTGCTCAGGTGTCTGTGGGGTCTGTGGCCACTTCTCCTTTCACCCAGGATAGGGCACAGGTCTGAAACCTCCAAGCAATACTTCCAGGTATATAACTGCCACTGGCAAATTTGCAGTGTAATAACCCAACAGTCCCAGGGTGGCCAGAAAACTGGGACGAGCGACCAAACTGTTGAGAAGGAAGGCAAAATGGTGGCAAGCTTTGTGGCAGGGGATATGGGGCCAGCCTCCGCTGTAGGCTGGGTGGGAGGAGGATGGCTTGCTGATCCTATCCCCAAAAACCTCTGAGCTGCCAAAGGCTGCACACCTCTGATGCCAATGTGTGGACTTCCTACCACTCCAGAGGTCTTTCATGGCTCCCTGCAGCCCTGAGTCACTGCCATAGTGCTGATGTGGAACTACTGTCTGTGCCTCCCAAGTCCTCCTGCTTGCCTTGATTCCAGGAGGGGAGAGACTCCAGCCCCCTAATCAAAGAACAGCAAATTCACCTTCAGGTGAATGGCGATGGGTGCCCCAGCTCTGCACTGGGGTCTGCCAGGACAATTGTCTGCACATGGGGTGGGAAGCAGCTTCCTGCCACTGGGGGGGAAACCAGAAGCTTGACACTACCCTGAATAAACATAACTTGTCACATGCATATTTATAGAGCCCAATAGACATTAAAGCTGTTAAGAATCGGTCTAAACAGGATACATTTCTCCTCTGAATGTTTTGGCAGAAAAGTCTTGTAAGCAGCAAATGGAAATGACACAAACGGAAAGGTAATTCCCTGGCAAGACAGATCCAAAGTCTTCTGCTGTCTCTGCTCAAACTGAGTAGCACCTCGGTGCAATAATCTTCACGTTGAGATCAATGAGGCTGTTTAAATAAATGAAGCATTCAAGTGTAGTCTTCTAAAGTAAGGCAAGAGAGATGGCATTGAAATCAAAAGGCTAAAATTCAAGCCTCCTTGAGCCCCAAGGAAAGGATAAATCCTTTAAGCTAGCTGTGAAGAAATAAGAGCTGAAAAGAGTCTGACAGATCCATTCTAAAACTTCTTGCAAAATAAGTTAGGGGCCAGAAAACAAGCTTACTAACAAGATTTTGGCTGTGTGTGTATGCTGTGTGTGTGTGTATGTATGTACATATATACATATATTTCACTTTGCCCTGTGGGGATATAATGCAATTAGATATAATGCGACATAATACATATGCTCAAACTAGAGCAGTAAAAAGAATACATAGCAAAATTGTTCTGCTGGTTTTGGAAATGATTTAGCCATCTCCATGGTGTCAGTGCGACTGTGTTCCTATGGGAACAAGCTGCCTCAAAGCAAGAGGCTTCTATACAAGAGTAGGTGAATCCTGGCTAAAACTTGGGGTTTAGCACAAAACTAAATATTCTGTAAATATCAAATATTCTGCAATATTTGGGCTAAATTCTCTCATTTTCAGAACTCATTGAAAGGGTTCTTTTTTACTCTGCCAACGAAGCAAGATGCAATCAGCTACGTTTGAACCATCTTTAGGACTGACTAGTAGATACTTGGTAGTAAAAACCTGTTTGCACCCTCCTTGCAACCATGATGTTACTTCCGAGAGCTGCACTCTAATGATGATAACCATTTTGAAAAGCACCGTACTACAGGAGTAATCCCAAAGGCTTTAATAGGACTACTGCTGGATTAAAGTACTATTCTTTGTGATGGAGCAATTAGAATCTTGCTTTATATTAAGATTTGCCTTAAATGCATACCTCCCCTGAAAAAAAAACAAAGTTCTCGTTGTGTATATTGTAAGGGGTTTACGTTGCTTTAATGTTAACGTGCAGCAGGAACAATGCTTACAGAACAAAACCCTGGAACTTCAAAGCTCTCTTGAGTATGCCTTGCAAAAAAAAGAATTCTGAGGAAGACAAGCATTGATCTGCCCAGCCAGTCAGAAACCAGACTGCTGCAGCTAGCCAAAGACGTCTTTGAATCAATATTCTGAGTGTTCATTCCCCTAACTGAAGCTGATCGAATGTGCTTTATTTTTAACTCCAAGCTGCTAAAATCACCATCAAACTGGTTGTCATGCCCATAACATATGAAGGAGATGGACCTTAACCTGAGGCTTTCTGCCAGCAGGTAATGAATGAATGAATGGACTGGAAATTACAGGAAGGATGGGACTCAAATTTCAAGGCAGGATTGTAAATTGTGGGAAATGGAGTCAGACGTGCTGTACATCAATGCTACAGATGTAAAACCTCAAGGGTGGTCCCATCTGGTACTACAAGTCCATAAATACCAGTTTTGTAGAGGAAAGAAATGAAACAAGGGTGCTGGAGCTGTATATTCCCGTTCTGGTATTATCCTTCCTGTAAACCCTGCTAAAATGTCTTCTGTAGCTCTGTTCTTAGTGCTGGCTCATTCCTATCTTGTGCCTGCTGTTATAGTCCTGTCTTCCCATTCTGATGCTCTAACATCTGTACAAGTCCCCTTGGTCCCTTGCTTGACGTACAGAGAGTGGCTAAGGGGAGACATCCACATGCTAAAGGCATAGGGACCATTTGTGTGTGCCGTTTCCCCTGTCATCGTTAGGGCAGATGATGGTGAGATGGCCCTAAGAAGAAATCCTAAAGGTGCCTAAGACACCTTTAGATTTAAGGCACCAGTAAAAAACTCCAAGGAAAGGTCTTGGTGGTAATATGGCGGCATTGACACTTGGTGTTGAGAAAGCACATTTCAGAAGAGCTCTGTTGCCTGCACTGGTTCATGCAGTACTAGTGTTATGGGCCATCTCAGCAGCTCACCAGGGTCCACGATGTCCCACCTCCCCATACAGTTTTACCTTGCTAATTATTAGGGGTAGAAAGCATGTTTATGAGAAAAATAGGTGAAGAGGAACAGGCTGTAGAGAATGGTTTAAAAACTGCAGAACTTCAATTAATGTTGAATTCCACTTTCTAATCTCAAGACAATTCCCGGTTTAAATTTCGTGCTGCTCTAGACAGCAATGGCACATTGTCGCCTCTCCCTATTTTTGTTCTTAAGGAGATACAGGAATCTTAAACTGACAGCTAATCAGCATTTCAGTGGACTAGATGTAATATCTGATAATGCATCATGAAACATACTGTGCCCTTGGAAACAGTGTTTTGCAGTTTCTGTCTGTAGAACCCTTATAGCTCACAGGAGAGCCACACAGTGAAAACATGGGTATGTTAATCCTTTGTAGGCTTGAATTTGCTGCTCCTTTGTAGATGTGAGTTTGTTTGAAAAGCCATCTGCTGGTCTTGAGCCTTTAGTATTTGCTTGCCAATCGTAACAAGATAGGTGGGGAGTATGTTGCTCTTCCTGCTCTGTACAAGGCATACCTGAACTGCAGAGAAAAGCAGGAGGACGATGGCCCATAAAAGTAAGAGGATGATAAATGCAGGTAAGGTCATTTGTCCCAGAACTTCAAATGCTCAGATTCAGTATGCAATTGTTTCCAAAGTGGGTATTTTTAAAGGGCATCATGCCAAGTAATTTGAGGCCAAATATATGGCTATTTAAGGAAATACATTACAGAGCATTAAAGGCAACTTCTATGAAAAATCATTTTAACTGTGTCCAAATCTGTGCAGTTGTGCCTCAGCTCAGAGCCGGAGAACAGGGTGAGGCAAGGCACTGTAATGCTCAGTGCCAAACAGACTGAGGGCCAGAGCTCTGAAAGGGGCACATCATGTTCATGGGGAATATTTCTTTTCCCTCTCCACTTTGAATATTCCTTGCAAGTGTTGTATTATTAAATGTAAATACAATAGCCGTGTGTGGCTGAAACCTAGAAGGAGCATCTCCCCGTGTGAAATGTGCCAGCTCTGTTATCCATTTGCAGGATAAACCCTGTTTCCTGCCAGGGTGTCCCACTTTGAACAGGGAGTTTCCTCTCTCCAGACAATAGCGGCATGGATCAGCATTGCCCTGGGAGCGAGTGGTTTTACAGGGGAGGAGATGTGCAGGTGGAAGAGAAATGGTTTGCAATAGAAGCAGGACTGATTTTTCCATGACTGCACCAGGATGGTGCTATGCCAGCCCCCGTTGGATGGGGGGTTTGCTGGTTTTCCGCCCACCATGTGGACAGTGAGACTCCTCACTCATCACTCTGCCCTCCTGCATCATCTCCTCTGGAAGCAGAGCAGCAGGCTGAAGTCCATCAAAGCTATCTAAAGATTCTTTAAAACACAGCGTGAACAAATTAGAGGCTGTTTTTTCCTTTAGCATTAGCTGCATGAGGAGGAAAGCACATGGGACATGGCGATGCCTTGTCTTGTGCTGGAGCATGGGTGCTTCGGCAGGACAGGCTGCCAGAGGAACATAATCTCTGCCCCCACTCTTCCTGACCAGGGCTGATGGAGCTGTTTTTTCCAGTGAATTTCCAGCTAAGCTATTAAAATAAATGTCTCACTGAAAGCTTCTGCCTTGAAGCAGCCACCCTGCCTCTGTATTTGCCTCTGTTCTGTATCTCTCTGTGCTGTTGAATGGGGGTCTCCTCTCCCAGGCTACCTATCTCCTGTGCAGCTGAAATTAACCCCTACACAATCCTACGGAGCATTAATACCTACTATTTAAGGACTTAAAAGCATCCTGCCCTGTGATAAGTTATCCGAATGCTATACATCAGCTGTATCGAAACCTGAAGTGAACTGGATGTTGTGCTATACCTTACTCATGTGTTGTCATGAAGTCACTAGGCAAGAGGGTTGGGGTTTGCCTGCTTTTATTCTATTTTGTTTGTGTTTTAATAATCATTATTTGCAGCCAAATTCTAAAGTCCATGGTTAGGGCCCCTACGGTCAAATATTTCCCTTAACTCTTGTTAGGGGAGGGAAAAATTGAGTCAGGACCTTATGATCTGAACATAAGCAAACAATCTGTTGTGGCAAACTCATGGGGGGATAAAAAAATATGATGATTCAAGGCAACAATATACTCATCCTGAGATCATCATTTTCACAAAGGCAGGGGGTAACAGCTGTCTGATCATCAGAGGATTATATCTTCCTGCTGTTACTTCCGTGACCCTAAATAAAACCTCTAATGCCAGCACAGCAGCGTGGCCAGAGAAAACAGCAGTGGCAGAAACAACTCCCTCCCTTCTGCTCTGGGGAGGTTTCTGTGGACAGGGTTGTCTTTATGGAGTCTTATCTAAATTATTTTTCCTGTTAGGTCCAGAAGGTGGAGATTGAAATAATCTTCCTCCTTCTAAAATCCCTCTCTCTCCCTTCTAAAATCATAGGTGAGGAGTCCCCATCCTGATGAAGATGTAATAGAAAGATGTATACAAATACAGTGTTTAATTCCAAGATTTCCCCATGTTTTAGTTAAGAACTCGCTGGATTATGAAGCTTAGGTTGTGCTAGATTTAAAAACACGTGTGTCCAAGAGCACAACATGAATGAATACGAGCATTAAATTCTGCTGACCATTCACTTCAAAATGTTTCCACTGCATGTGATTCCAGGACAAATATTGATTGAATAACCTCTCTGTGTGTGAAGTGTGGTCTGACACCCACAGTGACCTTTCTCTTCCCTGTCTAATCACCAGAGATAGCTGTAAGCTTCCTTTTGTACCAGAAATCTTGTTTCATAACACAGCTCCCCTGCTCTTTGGAACCTGAGTTTCTCCGTTTGTTTGTTCAGCCAATTGAGGTCTGCTGGGCTCTTTCTCTGTTTGATTTGCCTGTTAGCTTTGTCACTGGCTGAAATGGCCCCAGGGCTGGTTTGTTCAAGGCTTTGTTTCCTCTGGAAGAGGTGGCGGAGGGTTTTGGTCTCCACAGGTTGGATGGCATCACTGCACATGAGGTTTGCCTCGCTGCCAGCTGCTCATCCACCCAAGCAGGTGGCACAGTGTACGTGCTCACACATGGGCACCGAGCATCTGCCCAGTCTCTGATGGGTTTTATTCAATGGGCCTCCCTTTTATCTATAAAAGCACCAGCTGATGGTTTTAGATCTGACTTTTTAGGATGCAAGGTGACAACAGCATTTCTTACAGAGATGATGAGCCCTTGGACAGGTGGAGAGGGAAGGACATTGGGGCTGGTGTTTTTTGGACCAGCTCAGCCAAAGCTGGGGAAATACTGGGTGTAGCAGAGCAAAGAAGTTTGAATGAGATATCCTCTCCCTCTCAGGGTTGCTTTTTATTGCAAGGAGAGAAGACAACTATTATAACTGACCTTAACAGTTGCTTTCACAAATACAGAGTGCAGCACATAAGGCTCCATAGGAGCCCATAGCCCCCTTGAAGGTTTCCCTTGGGAAAGCTGGTGGAGTGCTTGAGTCCCCCCACACCCTATCCATACTCAGCTGCCCTCCATGTCTTCTGGACACGTGCTAAGATCTGTGGTGATGATCTTTCACTGGTGCCATCACCAAAATTACTAATATCCAGGCATCCAGCTCCCAGCAAAGGCACGCATATTTGTGGAGCACACATAGCCCTCTTCTAGTCTAAGCCTTCTTCTCATGTTAACTAAAAATACTCATAATGGCTTCCTGTGAGATTATGATTCTTGATTCTCTCTATAAATATAGAAACACACCCACACTATATATATCAGTAAATGCATATATACATACATATATATATATCCCTGCCCTCCCCTTTCCTTCTCACAGGCTGAGTAGTCCCAGTGAGAGGACAGTAACTTTCCATCACAAATGCTTTTCCTGTGACTGTTTTTTGTTTTTCGAAGCCTATGAAAATATTTTCATTTTGGTTGTCTATAAATAAATAGAAATTTGCCTTCCAGAATGTGATACTAGAGCAAATCAAGTGCTAGGATTGATGCCTTTTAAACAAATACTCTCATGATTTACATGCAGATAACACCCTAGTGTAAAAAGTACCATGTTGATGAACTGAGATCTCTGTTACACAGTGGTTAATTATAGCAGTTTCAGTTTTGGTTGCTCTATTAGATAGTCATATCTCAAACCAATATGCTCACATCTCTTTGTTACAGCATCTTAAAGACAAGACTGAAACCAAATCTCAGTCCTTATAGATCCAAGCCTGCATGTGAAGCCATGCACATGCCAAACCAAGGGGACAAAGAGATGCAGGAAGCCTTCTTCCTCCCCTACCTGGCTTAACCTAGCAAGTAGGACTTGTGCACAGACTTCAGCTGCTAGCAGAAGTGATTGCATTCTCCTCCTCATCCTCCTCCTCCTCAGCACAGTAGCAGAAGATTGCTTTCCCTGATGATTGCTCCTCCATGGAGGGTGTAAGATGTATGTCCAGACAATTGCTCAGACATAACCTTTGATGCAGGAAACCTCCAAATTGGGGAAGCTGGGATGCTGTGTCACAATGGCTTGCTATGCTTTACCTGTGTCTTTTTCTATACTCTTTCTTTAAGTCACAGCTGTGGTTTAGTGGACCTCTGCTCCTACTAGATGTGCTGCTCTTCCCATAGCTATCTTTTAGACATATGGACCAAGCCTTGCAGCTGCTTTTCAGTTTTAAAGTTTCAGTATAAGGGAAAGGGGAGCTTGTCAGGATCTGGCCCTTGGTGGGGAGGCCCATCCATGCAGCATGCACGAATCTTTGGTGCACTGATGTGGAACATATTGTGCCAGATCATTTTGCATTTGGGTCACTGTATTGACTGCTCACTTTGACTTGCATGTTTCACTGTCCATTTCCCTGGTGCATGCTTTGGAAAGCCCCGCTCCAGAAATGTCCTCCTGCTGAGTGAGCAAGCTGAATAGTAGGTGGAGGCTTGAGAGATTCTTGCTTCTTAAGATATGCATGGTCAGTAGGTGTGGTAGGTTGAGCCTAGCTGAACATCAGGTGCTAACCAAAGCTGCTCTACCACTCCCCCTTAGCTGAACAGGGGATAGGAAATATAACAAAAGGCTCATGGGTCAGGGAGAGATCACTCACCAATTACAGTCATGAGCAAAACAGACTCAACTTGGGAGATCAGTTTAATTTGTTATCAATCAAATCAGAGTGGGGTAATGAGAAATAAAATACAAATCTTAAAACACCTTCCACCCACCCCTTCTTTCTTCCCAGACTCAACTTCCCTCCTGAATCTCCATCTCCTCCCTGTTCAACTCTGGGACAAGGAATCCGTGTTTTAGGGCAGGGATGCCTGCTTTGTTAACTCTGATTTCCACAGTGATCTAATCCTTCTGGGCATCGCAACTTTACCTGATGGCGGAGGCTGCACCATAGAAGGGGTATCAGGAATCCCATGGGCTTTCTCCTGTGTTGGTCTCCTTGCAAGCTACATGTGCTGTGTACCTTTCTACAGCACCTTCCTCCCTTCCCTTCCCTGTGATTCACTGGCTTCATGTTCATGCTGGCTATGCTGGCTCAAGGAACTTACCCAAGGAGAGCAGATCGCATGTCTGAGCATGGGAGAGAGACAAGGGACTACAGATCTTTTCTCTTCCCCCAGTTCCCCAGGAATGCTCTGGCTTTAGAGAGCAGACTGGGGATACAGGCGCAAGCCAGGGGGATGGGTGCCTTGGAAAAAGGGGGTGGCAAGGCCAAGGAAGACTTCCAAGGAAATTCACACGGTAGCAGTGGCATCTGGCAGTATTGTTTCAGGCTGGGAATGCTGCTGTGTTGTATTCCATGGAGCTGGTGCATTACCCAGTCTTCCTTGTTATGACTTTTAAATTAGTATATCCTTCCAAGTTTTAATCTTTTTCTTATCACAAGGCTGTTGGGTAGAATTAAATCCTAACTCGCATCCATCTGGGAGCTGAAAATGTCAGTGGAGGCTGAAAAGTGGTCTCTGCTGAGGGACCATCGTGCTGAGATGTGCTCCACACTCCCGCTGGTACAGCTTGCTGAGGCGGAGGATGCTCCTGCGTTGTGGCAGCAATGGTCATAACCGCATGTGAGTGGCAGATGTCAGTATGGTGTGATGTAGACAGAGATGGATGTCTGTCCCCATCCCACAGGCAGGAGGACCCTGACCAAGTGAGATTTTGGCCTC